AATCTCTGATGAAGTGTACTTGATTGATATATGCTTTGTTATTCCATGATATGTTGGATTCTTGGTCATTGTTGTGGTTGACTTGTTGTCACAGATAATTGTTGTTGCCTTCATTTTCTCCTGCTTTATATCTGCTAGAATTCTTTTCAACCAAACTGCTTGACATGCTGCTGAATTAGCTGCTATATACTCATCTTCTGATGGTGATAAAGTTGTCATATTCTGCTTCTTTAGACTCCAACAAACTGCTCTAGAACCAATATTGAAAACATTTCCTGCAGTGCTCTTTGTGTCTTGAACACATCCCACCCAATCACTATCTGTGAATCCAACCAATTCAAACTCTGAAATTGTGTTGTACCATATGCCAAACTCTCTTGTTCCAGCAATATACCTCAACAACCTCTTTGCTGCTCCAAAATACTGCTTTGTAGGACTGTGCATAAACCTGGAAATTGTACTCACAGCAAAAGAAATATATGGTCTTGTATGACTTAGATAGATAAGACCTCCAACTAAACTCTTGAATCTTGTTGCGTCTTCTTTTTCTGTTCCATCGTCCATCTGCAACTTCCCATTCACATTCATAAGAGTCTCTACCATATTGCAATATGTCATGTTGAACCTTTTTAACAAATCTGATGCATACATATGCTGAGAAACGAAAATACTATCCTCCACTTTCTTGACCTCAAGACCAAGAAACAAATACAGTAAACCCAGATCTGACATTTCAAACTTCTTCATCATGCATTCTTTGAAACCATGCAACAAGTGAAGCACTAGAAACCATGTAAACCATATCATCTACATATAAGCACACAATAAGGATATCACCTCTATTTTGTTTCTTTACGTAGAGAGCACTTTTGCTTCTTTCAAACCAGTTTCTGCAAAAAATGAATCAACCTTGTTGTACCAGTCTCTAGGAGCTTGCTTGAGCCCATACAGTGCCTTATACAACCTATAAACCAATCCTTCTTTGACTTGAACCACAAAATCTTCAGGCTGATCAATATAAACCTCTTCAAGTAGCTCACCATTCAAGAAAGCCGACTTAACATCAAACTGATATATTAGCCAATGCATATGAGCTCCTAATGCAAGTAAAGTTCTTACAGTGTCAAACCTTGCCACTTGAGAGAAAGTTTCTTCATAATCCACTCCATACTCTTGGGCATATCTAATATCCCTTAACCCCCAGCCTTGCTTTATACTTTTAAATGCTTCCATCTGCATGATACTTAGTTTTAAGCACCCACTTCACACCAGTTGAGTGCTTACCTTCAGGAATCTAAACTGGCTGCCAAGTGTGATTTCTTCTCTATGGATGTTATCTCGCCATCCATTGATTTGCACCTGAATTCTTTTTCTGCAGCCTCATAGAAAGTTCCATGATTAGAAGTGAAAAATACATGCTAAAACTCATAAATGTCTTGCTGAGATCTGAACTTTTTGAAATGCACTTTCATCTTCATTGCTGCTTGACCCACTGCCACTGCTATAATTAGGTGAATTTAGGACTGAACTTGTTGGTTTATTAGCTTCAGAGCCTGCTGGACTTTGATTCACCACCTGCTCATCATTGTTGTCCATGGAAATTTCCATAAGTTCACCATTATCATCTTCATGCCAACTCCCAACAAATTTCTCATTAAAGGTAACATTTATGCTTTCAACAATCTTCCCACTCACAGGATTATATAATATATATCTTTTAGATTATGCACAATATCCAAGAAACTTACATTTCTCAGATTTCTCATCAAGCTTCTTCCTGTTATGAGTGTCAATAAGAGAATGTGCAATAGTTCCAAAAACTCTTAAGTGACTTACCCCAGGTTTTCAACACCAAGCTTCATATGAGGTTCTGTTTAGAACTGCTCTTGTAGGTGAAATCTTCAGCAAATACACTGCTGTCCTCACACTCTCAGTCCAAAAATGATTTGCAGATTCTTCTGTTTCAACATGCTTCTGCCCATCTCCACCACAGTTCTGTTTTTCCTTTCTGCTACACCATTTTGCTCGGGAGTGTAAGCTGTAGTAAGCTCATGATGAATCCCTTAGTTCTCACATAATTTGTTGAACTCTATAGAAGTGAACTCTCCTCCTCTGTCAGTTCTCAACACCTTGACTTTCTGCTCACTTTTTTTCTCCACTAATGCTTTGAATATCTGGAACATTTCAAATGCTTCTCCTTTAGTCTCTAGAAAATAAACCCAGCTCATCCTGTTGTAGCCATCTGTCAACATCAGAAAGTATTTACATTCTCCAAGAGATGCAGTTTGCATAGGACCACATAAATCAGCATGAATAATCTCAAGAAGTTGAGTTGCACTTCTTTCTTTACCCATAGGAAAAGACGTGCGGGTTTGTTTCCCATATATGCAACATTCACACAACTCAAGAAATTCAATATTTGGTAAACCAGAAATCATATATATCTGATTTAACACCTTTAATCCATTCTCATGTAGATTCTCATATCTTAAGTGCCACAGCTTTGAATCCTCTGAAACCTTAGCAACCAAAGCACTTGTTTCAACAGAAGACATCACTAATGGGTATAGATTGTTTGATGTCTTCTTCACCAATGCTACTGTGAGATCAGACATACATCCCCATCATAGATGAGTATGAGATTACCATGATCATTCTGGATAGCCACAATACATTTTCCTTCCACTTGAACTTCTTTGTCATCTCCAAGCTTCACCCTCAGTTTGTGTGATAATCCAACTCCTTAAATGATGACTTGATGCTTGTCATGTGATTTGGGCAGCCACTGTCCAAGTACCACACAAATTTTGACACTCCGTCACTATTGAATGTCATGAAGATTCTAGGCTCATCCTCTTGTTCAACAAACCTTGCATGTTTTTCTTCTCTTTGTTTCTTCCAACAATCAGCCTGCATATGACAATTCTTCTTGCAATATTAATACTGAGTATTGCTCTTGTTGGTACCTCTGTTATAGGACTGATTAGAACTGCTTGAGTTATCATAATAACCTCTTTATATATCTCTATCATGGTCCCCACGACCTCCATATCTGCCTCTTCTTCTACCAGATTCAAAACCATTGCTGTTTTTTCTGACCAGTGTACTCTCTCGTCATCTGGAAAGCTTTCTTTTCAGATTTCTCAGACTTCTTACCAAGACGATCCGCATGACCAATTAATGAGCTCATCATGGTGTAAAAAGTATATTAACTCATATCATTTGCCTCCATGATTGCAGGAACCACAAACTCAAATTTTTGAGTTAAACTTTTGAGAAATTTACTCACAAAAACTTCATTTGACAAGAATTCACCATAGGACTTCATCTGGTTGAAAATGGCTGAAACTCTTGCCAAATATTTTTGCATTGTTTCTTTCTCCTTCATCAAAAGTGTTTCAAACTGATGACGAAGTGTCTGTAGTTTGACAGCAATCGCCTTCTTATCTCCCATGTACTCATTCTTCAGGATTTCCCAAACTTCATGTGTTGTATCCACTGCTGAGATCCTAGATAAGATGTCTTTATCCAATGTTGTCTGGACCAAAAATGGCACATTTGCATCCTTCTTAAGATTCTCTCTTAACCGCTGATCAGGTTCTGCAGGATTTGCATCTTCAAATCCATTCTCCACCATATCCCAAAGTTCTTGAGATCTGAACAGTGTCTTCATCTTAAGATTCCAAAGGTGATATATTTTTCACCTTTAAACACTGGAACCAGAGCTTGTTTATTTGCTCCATTGCCTGCCATGACTTTTAATTTTGAGAGAATGAAAGGGATCAAAACTTTTTTTCTGATACCACAATCTTGGAACAAGATAAACAATGTAGAAAACAGAGAAAGAAAAGAACATAGAATAAATAGAAAAATATTTTTCTGAATAATACTTTATTATTTGTTGATTAAAATGAAAGAAAATACATAGCTTATAAAGAGAAAAAATGTAACTACACCCATTACCCTATAGACTGTTTAAATCCCATAATTAAGAAAAATAAAATTCCTAAATTGACTAAGCAATAAACCCAACAAATAGAAACTAAAACTATTTGTAACTTATTCCAATAACTTCCAAGTTTAATCACATTTGAACACTCTCCCTTGATTCAAACTTGCACACTCTAAATTTGCTTCTGAAGTAATCAAAATTTTTCTTAGACAATGCATTTGTTAGCACATCTGCATTCTGCTCACTTGTACTGCAATACTACAAAGCAACATAACCTTCATTAACTAAGTCTTTGATGAAGTGTACCTTGATTGATATATGCTTTGTTCTTTCATGATATGCTGGATTCTTGGTCATTGCTATGGTTGACTTGTTATCACAAAAAAATTTTGTCGTCTTCATTTGCTCCTACTTGATGTCTGCTAGAATTTTTCTTAACCAAACTGCTTGACATGCTGTTAAAGTAGCTGCTTTATACTCAGATTTTGATTATGATAAGTTGTCATATTCTGCTTCTTTAAACTCCAACAAACTGCTCCAGAACCCAGATTGAAAATATTTCCTCAAGTGCTTTTTGTTGTCTTGAACATATCCTGTCGAATCACTATTTGTGAACCCAACCAATTCAAACTGTTATTCCAACAATATACCTTAACAACATCTTTAGTACTCCAAATACTGTTTTGTAAGACTGCATAAACTTGAAAATTACACTCATAACAACAAAAATATTTGATCTATATGAGTTAGATAGATAAAACCTTCAACCCTTTTTCGAGTTATTCAACGTTAATTAAAAAGCTGTTCAACGTTTCAAAGATCAACTACTTTGGATCTACCTATCCATGGCTGACTTATATTTCTTCTCTATTGAACAATGTTTGGTTGTCCAAAAATTGGTACTTTTGCTTTTTAAGGAAAGAGTGACGAATTGTTGCTGACTTATCCATTTGGTCTTATAAAAACAAAATTCAATGGAGAAAACTCTTTTGGTGTTAATATGTTTTCTCCATGTTTAACCTCCCTATCTTTTTCCTTTTCGAGCCGATGAAAAGGTTAAAAATATATTCAAGCTAAATAATTATATAGTTTTGACGAATTTATTGCTAACCGCACAATCAAACAAACAAACAAACAAATATACACCCTAAAGCATAGAAATCAAACACAACAAAATTTGGCTTCATCTGGTTTTTTTCTTCCATGCCAAATTATTTCGAAACTGTTTCTTTCTTTAATTAGCTTTATGGTTTGAAATTGAGAGATTCATCATTGTAGATATCCCACCATTTCTTAACCAACATTTTGACATCTTCTCTGTCCATGAAAGCTTCTTCCCCTGTGAACTTCCATGGCTTGGATCCCTACCAATAATAAAATATTTAAAAAGGATTAATCCCTATCATTTTGTCACCAATAATAAAATATTAAAAATGATTATATTAAAAAATATCAGAACCAAGAGAGATGTATCAGCAAGAGAGAGAGAACCTACAGGTGCACAGTAATGAACAACCTTGACTTTGTCCTGCTCCACGTTCTCCGGGTGACGCCAAAGTAGAGACATAATCAGGTTATAAACCAATGGGATCGGTTTAAAAACATTTTCAAAGAACACATTGAGAAAATCCTACCAAAGTCACACAAACGAAGATTTCATTAAAAGTTAAAACCAATTACATGAATTTCTAATTCAAAACCCGAAAATATATCTTTTATATTCTCAATAGCCAAGTGTGAATCATAACATTTTAAAAAGTATATAATTTGCATTACTTTAACCCGAATATTTAATCATATTATAAAACTCACTTGTTCTGCAAATTCGGTAGGTGGTGTGACCTTGAGAGCTTGGAGGAGGCTCTCGTAAGTAGTAAGGTTAGGCTCAAACACAAACATTCCGGCGTTGTAGTACGGAGGAGGAGGAGGAGATTCCATCTCGATGGGCCACGTCACCTTTTCCGGGCACTGTTGACAATATCCGATTGTGTACTGCGGCGTGTGGCTCCATGTTTTCTCACAGAAACAGCCTAACACGCCGTGCAAGTAACCATCTGGCAAATCAAAGAGCTCGTCTATATTGTCATAGACCTGAATATCCGCGTCCAAGAAAACCACTTTCTTGTACTCTTCAAACTACAAAGTTTAACAATATAATATAAATTCAGATCTCAACATATTATAGAAAACAAATGCATTGAGTTTTAGTTTTTTTCAAGATTTCAAGATGCTTACGTTCCAAATTCGAAGCTTCGAGTAGTTGATAACGTAATAGTCCCTTGCATATGAGACCTGGTCATCAGGAGGATAAAGAGGCTCGATCTCACGCACGACACAGCCTTGAGACTTCAAGATCTCCCGATGTACCTCAGGAACATCAGGCAAGATAGCAACGACAAGAGGGTACGCACTTTTAACCTTACGCAAACCCTTTGCTAATCCCACCACTCCCTTCACATAGTCTCCGTTACCTGCCAAAAACGTTACATAGGCATTTTCCTTATGCACCTTCTCGGATGCATCGATTGAGACCATGGGACTTTGAGGGGTTATTTTGATATGACAAAAAAACTTAAAATGCGAAGAGAATTTAAAACGCGAGGCTGTTTCTGAGTAGGTTCTATGAAACCATTTGATTATATAGGCGTGAGAAGTGTAATTTAATTGTTATCTCGATGAAGTGGTCTTTCAACTACACTAAATCAATACATGCATTCCATTAAGTGTGAAATTAAATATTAAAAACATAATTTGTTAAGTTTTCTGGATTTTCAATCCAAAACCAATAGATATAATAAGGGAATTACTCTAAATTTCTTATATATTAATTAAAATTCTTTTCAACTTTATTGACATATCTTACACACATTTTATAAAGATGCTTTATGATCTATTAATTCCTAATAATCTTAATATTCTTCTCTCTTGAGATAATAGTTATTCTAGCCATTAGTTTTGCTATGGTCATCGATTTCGGATTAAGGAGAAGATACCACTTCTGGACCGTACAATGAGATAATGTAGATCAGATTCTAATATCATGTTAAATCTTATGGACTTTCAACCCAAAACTAATTTACAATGAGTGGATTGATCCAAATCTCTTATATATTAGTTAATGTTCCTTTCACATATGAATAACCCAATTATCATCTAAAGAAAAGTCACTGAGACGAAACAAAAAGTCTAACCTGTTTGGCGTACCGAAGTCATCATCGGCTATAACCACTTTGTCAATTTGATTACCCTTTGCTTCCCATTCCGCTAGCTTCGCTTTGAAAGCCAGAATTATCTCGGCGGGGATATCCCATCCTTGGGACTGCATATGCTCCAGATAGGCTATCATGGATTCATTCTTTCCAATACCAATGATAGCCGCCTCAATCTCCTCTCTTTGAGCCAGAGATACCATCATCCGCTCTATCCGCGGTATATATCAAGACAAAGCGTTCTGGTAGATCTCGTCTGCCACATAATGGGTTGCGTCCTCACGAGACTTGTGAAGCCTCTCCTTATTACCAGTCACTTTTTGTGCATCGTTTGCACTCTTCTTTTCAAGGTGCTCAACACGTGCTTTGAGAACGGCCAACTCTTCTCGAAGTCGAGATGATTCTGCCGCTTTAACCTTAAGATTGCAGACTTCAGCCTCAAGGTGAGATCTTTAGCTCTATCTTCGGTTTCCCAAAGTCTTTGAATCTTGGTAAAGCTGCTCTCGACTTTCATCTCCTCAAGACAAAGACGACGGTCATACGACGAGTAAATCCCTATTCTCTGAAAGATATATAAGCCCTCTTAAGATTAAACAAAATATGATGAAAGCGCATCGCGCCGCCAAATTTAAAAAATAAAAATCTGAATGAAATGCTGAGCCGCTTCACGGATACTATCCACGTGTTTCACCTCCTTCAAGGGGGCTCCCCATCTAGGATTCGGCTTGCACCGTGAGATTAGCAGCAAAATCGTGATCAAACATCGCTGGGGTTTCTTCATCCCACCAGAGTTTAAAGTGGTTGAGATTACAGCTTTTATCATCTTGCATCTCTGGCTTCACCTCAGCAAACCCCTCTGGATTGACGTCTTCCATCTCATTCTTAATGTGAATGTTAGGCGTCACGAAGCCCGCCTCTTGATCTGCATCTCGTTCGCCTTAGGATCCTGGGGAACATTGAATGTAGCCCTGTCTATCTGCCCCATGCAGTAGAGGTTGGCTCGTGAGAAGATGGACTGATTTGGGGAGGAATCCCCCCCCCCCCTCGTCCACGAATTTGGAAAGAAGTCATGTGTTACTAACAGCTGCCTTATCCTGGCGAGCTTCTTCAGCTCATTTTGACTTTTTTGGCCTTCTTTGCTGTGGCCTGCTTAACCCGTTTTAGCGCAGCAGTTCTGTTAAAACTGTGAAAACAAGTAAAAAAACAGTAAGAAAGCATAGCAAAAACGACAAAGTGAAAAAATACCTTTCTGTCTCTGGTTGAACTCCATCACTCGCTGAAACCTCAACGACTTCGTCATCCACCGAAATAGGTTCTGACGAGTGATTTGACTTCACCTCTTCGCAGGAGACCGCAATGGAATGGAGACTTCGACCACAGATGCTCTGCTCCTTTTTTCAGTCCCATCTTCCTCTCGATTGGTTTGAGAACTGAAAAGGAATGCAAGTAAAGATCAACAACGAGTCTTCAGTCAAGAAAAAGGGAAACATAGACAAGGCAAGGAAAACTACTTGGCTTCGGCTTTGACATTTGCTTAACCTTTGAGCATGGAGCCCTAGATTTCTTCTCGTACGAACCTTTCTTATCTTTCACAGGCCAGAGCCTCTGGCTAAGGTCTCTAAGCTTGGAAACGTCTATATCGAAACTGAAAGGATCCTCTTCAAGATCAACTTTCTTTGCGGAGTAAAAGAATAGAAATCATGTGTCAGTATATTTTAAATATAAAAAAAGGAGCACTAATATTTAGAAGAACAATCAACTACCAGGCTAAGCCTCCGAGCCGAGAAAAGACCGAGGTCATAATTGCCAACAGATGTTATGTTGCATTTTATATAAAAAAAAAAATACTGTCCCAATCGTGGACTCTGCTCTTTGTATCTCTGTCGATGATACCAAACTCCAAGATCGTATATAAATGGTGAGGCTTCCTCGAGCTGTCAACCTTGCCACTCTTAAGGACGGAAATCCTTTCAAAGATGTCCCAGTTGAATGGAACTTCTGCCGCTCGAGATAATTTGCAATCATCTCGACAAACTGGGGTGGGGGAGGGACTTATTGTTGGAGGTGAAATGAGAAGGCTTATCCATCAATAACTCAAGCCTGTTGATGTTTTGTGTTTGATGTATTTACGAAGTGAAAGAAAAAAACAGAGTATCAAATGTAATCATAACTTGTATTGATACTTGAATGTATTACACTCGTTTTTTTTTTTTGTGATGCAAATAACAAAAACTCGATCTACTACTTATACAAACGAAATAATGTGTTTGTGTAATAAGAAAAGACATAGAGACACAATCTTAAAACAGAACATATGTGTCTTTTGATCAAGTAACTAACTTATATAAATATGTAGCTAACTTATACGAGATTTGATTATAGTTTAACAAAGCCCACCAAGATGGTTTAAATTACACAGATCTCTTCAAGTAAAACGAATGTATTTGTGGATAATAGAAAATCTCCACTAAATCAGTATATTTGAAATATGAAAAATATTTTTAAAGAATAAAGGAAAGAGAGTTTGCTGCAACCAACAATCAAAATCATAAATAAAGGACTTGTGGTAACCCAACCCGGTAAACCGTACTGCGGCTGTATTCCACTACATCCTCTAAGTCCGTTTCTATACTTAGCCATATTTTTAAACTTTTTCTTCATTCTTATTCTTTCTTATCAATACACAGCGGAATATAAAACAACTCATTTCTTTCATTTAACTTGCATAAAATCACTTAACAGGATTTGGGATTAACTTAAACAAAAGCACAAGGTTCGCTAAAGATTACAACTGATCATCTAGCAACCTAAATAGTCAAACACCAAAGCCATAAGACCCTAAACACAAGTCTTAAACATAATAAAACCAAGTCCCGATCCATCCATATCCATCACTGCCGCCTGGTCTCGCCCCTTTACTGCTTAGTACCTGCACACTCAAGATGAGAGGCATAAGTATTTCACAAATACTTAGTGAGTACGGTCATCCCGTAACACCTGGTCAGTACCAAACACACAATCATACTTTTGGATTCAACATTCAACACAATCAATTCGCAATAGACATAACAATATCAAACGACCATGAACATCTAGCCTAACCAACCAAGATCAATCCCTTTTTAAGACTCATGTCTACTTCAGCGAGAATCCCACATCCCCTAAGCTAGTACATGATCCGGATTACCCTGAGGTTAGCTAAACATCATATATGCCATGGTAAACACCACAATATATCATAACATAAGGATTGCTTATCAGTTCTAAACACATAGCATGGAAATCACACAATCAACATGCAAACATTCAACCCTAGCAATCCTACGGTCCTAGACACCAACTACAGTCACGCACTCACCTTAAACAAGGCTGGAAACAGATTGGTCAGAAGAAATCCCGATGAAAACCGCACCAAAACGAAGATATCCGATCTCCCTAAGAATCTCTTGGCTGCCCGTACGATCCGATCCTTATCCCCTCGGCTATCTCTCGATCTGTTCACCTTTCTTCGAGCCAAACTCTGTTTTCCCTCAGAAACCCCACAAAATAAGGCTATTAGCTCGAGATTATCCGATGAAAACTCAACACTTAGGGAAATACACGATCGCTTACCAATTTATCTTGGCGATGGTCGGTTCTGCTCGGCGATAACCTGATCTCTCTCGGATGTCCTCGGGATAAACTGCTTTTCTTAGGGTTTTCTCTCGACTATTCTTTTTATTTGCTTTATTGCTCTTGAATAAACACAACTCTCCCGAGAAAAGTCTCAAAATCCCTTAAATACTTGCAAAACCCTAGATAACCCGGATTTATCCGACGTTTTCCTGGTTCCAGTAAGTTTTATCCCGGTCCGATTCGATTCTCTCGGCTATTCCCTGTACCGGCTCGACCATTCCTTCGATAAACCCCAAAATAGCTGGCCAAATACTTGGCCCACAGCCCAAATCTCTTCCCACTCGGATAAACCGTCTTTATCCGAGGTGTTTTCCATTTTTCACCTAGATATTCCTATTTCTCTCGGACAACTTGTCCCACCTCAGCTAATCCTCTATTTCTCTCGGAGGTTTTCCTTTCTCCCTCGGAGACAGTGCACTGACACTCGGACTAACCTCCCAGACTCTCGGATAAATCCCACTGCACTCGGATAAATCCCATTTCCCACGGACTGGACCCTGTTTTCTCTCGGATATGGTCCATCCGGCTCGACTATCCAGCCCACATCCGACTATTTTCTCGGTCATTACCCGACCATAGTCCGAACCTCTATTTCCCAGCCAATATCCGACCCTTGACTCGATTTTTCCTCAGACAACGCCCTGTCCGGTATGATCATTCCACATCTTTTCGGATACGGATGCTACAGGACTAGTCTAAAATTCTTAGAAAACTCCCTATTTCTAAACTTTCTAATAAATTATTCACAAAATTTTTAATTCACTTCGACAAAACTTTTAAATTGCTGTCACTTTTATAATCGATCAGCCTTTGAATTTTAATAAAGATTTATCTTCAAAACCTATAACTATTTGTTATTTATTTTTATTAAGTAATATTCTGGTTTAGTAATAGATTGCTTAAAGTTTTAAGGCATTGACAACTTACAAGATGCCAGTTTTCGTTTTTAATTTGAATCAGCACATGCTTTAGATATTTTTGTTATAAAAAAGCACATGATAAAGATGCGACGAAAATTACGCAATTGCATTTATTCCACCCAACAGTCTTTTTGCGAATCGGCCATATAAAAATACCGTTTTCCAACGACTAGCTAGCTCATCTATTATTTTTTTTTTGTTCAAATAGCTAGCTCATCTATTTAAAATCGTATTTATAGCTAAATGTTTGAATCATTTTCTGGTCCATTTTTTATTCCAATACATTCGTTCGAGTTTGTTGGAGTAGCGTACGTGGAGTTTTTTTTAGTGATTTCACGGTGGACAGAATCACAGAGACTAGGAAGGAAAGAAGGAAGGTTTCAAAGACTGAAGAAGACACATAAGGTTTGGCTCTCTAGGCCAATTTCTCCAAAGCTATTAGATTCACACAAAGTAATACTATAAATTATGTTATGATTAACGTACTGAAAGATTTTATTTAGATTTGAGTACTAATTATAAGAATGATCACAATTTTTTTTTTTTAATTCGGATCATCATTTTTATTAAACCGGCTGTCTCCCGTATTGAGTAAACTCTAATCTGAATCACAACTTTCTCACTTTGATCCTACTCGAGCAAGTATGTTGTAATTTCTCTGCTCGGTAGCTAGAGTTCGATTCACCACTTTCTCTCTATTTGGACTTTATTCAAGTGAATCTATGGCATTTTTCTTTCACTCAAGCCTTGGTGCAACATTTTTCTAAGATTCAAATCTTCTTTTGGGATGGAGGTATATTTTTTTAAATAGAAATTTTTAAAAGTAATTGCAAATATTGAGAAAATTATGGGTCTAAAATTTTGAACTTCCATATTTAATTTAAAAAAAAACCTTTTTAAAAAAATCAACTACAACAATTTACCCAAAAAAACTAAAACAACTGTTACGAAAGTTTTTTATGTTTTCAAATCAAAACTTAAAACATTTAAAAAAATGAACAAACAGTAATCTGAAGTTAGGACTACTGAAGAGGTAAGCAACTAAATATTTACCTGTACTTTGTGAGAGCTGATGAGAGGTAAATCAATCATGTGTCCAACCTCCGGACTCCTACAAGGAATAAGTCGGCGCACGAATGATTAAACGCTTTTCACAATCACGTGACCTCCACAACCTGTATATGTTTTTTTTTTTTAAAACTGTTCGTTTCTATTTTGTTGATAAGTAAAAAGCTCTATTCAGAAACTTACTATTCGTTAATCGGACAGTCTGTTCAAGTCTAACGATTTATTCAAAAATCAAATATAAATCAGAGAGTACTAAGGGAGTAATTTTTTTATTATAATATATATATATATATATATCAGGAATTACGAATTAGTTTGAATTTTATTTTTCATTTTTGCATACAGTTTGTATAAATATATTTACTGTTTACCTTTTCAGTTTCATTCAATTTTTTTTAATATTGAAATAAATCAAAAACTTGGATTGCAGAAAAAGTAATGTAAAATTTGTAACTAATATTTTTTTTTGTCAAGTAGATATTCGATACTTTGTTTTTCCAAAGATAGATCTGATCTTTTTAATATTCATATTTATAAATATTTGATTGTTAATATTTATGTATCAACATCTACACTAAAAATAATTCATTGTGATCTTCAATGTATTTGATGTGGAGCAAACCGAAAGATAATCAATCATACATTTTTTGAATGTTTATCGGCCTTCTAAGTATGGGTGTTGTCGGTTATTTCCACACTTTTAAATGATTTTTTGACAGACGCGTTCTACTCCAATATGGCAACACTATTCTGGCATTTGCCAAATTATGAAGATATGAAAGTTTTTTCATGATTACTATGATACATTTGGAAAATGCAAAATGATAAAAAAGTCCGAATATCAATCGGGACCCACAGGAGATAGTAAGACTGGCAACAATAGAGGCAAAGGCTTGGGAGGAAACACAGATGGATATCATGAAAGTGGCTCCAGACGTGACACGGGAAATAATAGATTATAGGAGTATTTTGACGTGTCAAACGGATGGGTCATGAAAACAATCTAGCCCACACTTAGGACTAGGATGGTTTTGTCAAGAAAATGGAGTATTGGGCACATTAATGGTGCAAAAAATGTCGGTCAAAGTACATCGGCTCTACATTCAGAATTAGAGGCTTTGATATGGGCAATGCACAATATGCTTGATGCAAGGAGATTGGAGATGACCTTTCTTACAGACTGTTCCGGATTGGTGAAGATGGTGTCTCACCCAACAGAGAGGTTAGCACTCGCAATACATCTGGAGGAATACGATACCAGCAAAAAAAGAATTTGTTTCTTTTTTGTTAGCTCACATACCATATGCGCAGAACACGAAGACAGACAAGCTAGCAAGGAGTGCTCGTTCATGCATTTACCAGCTAAAATATATAAACCTAATTCCACCAACTTGGTTTACAGAATCGTTTTAGAAGCATAAGGCTGTTGACAAAAAAAAAATATGTTTTTATACGATTATTATACCAAAATATAAAAAACAAGATAGTTTGAAGAGAAATAATTTTTGGCACACAGTACTATAAAAAAACAAATAATCAAACCACAAACAACAAATACAAAAATAAGGATCAAGATATATCAAAAGAAGAAGAAAAGAGCACACAAAGATGAGAATCAAAACACACCAACTTGCTTCAAAGATAGTCTTGTGTACTTGTGCTTAAGACCTCTCGTGCGGCGGAAGGTGGAGCAGGAGAATAGGTAACTGATTGTTCGGGTACTGAAGTTATAATATTTGACTTCGAAATCAATTTATTTGGGCTTTTTGGTTTGAAATCAAGGGAAACATCGTCATAAATATCCCACCATTTCTTAATTAACATTTTTACATCTTCTCTCTTCATGTTTGGCTCGTCTCCTGTGTATCTCCATGGCTTGGATCCCTATGATCATTTTAATTTCATCAATAATAATAATAATAATAAAGATAAAAGGACAAAATTCTCATGGTATTGTTTTTAGATAAAGATAAAGATTAATATCTAAGTTTTCTAAAATTCATATGGGATTGTTAAGTTAGGGAAAGTTGAAAATGATTTATTGTCCCATTATAGTCTAAGAGAAAACAAAGTGCTTACAGGTGGACAGTAGTGAACAACTTTGACTCTCTCCAAGTCAACACTCCCCGGATGGCGCCAAAGCACAGATAGAATCAAGTTATAAACCGGAGGGACCGGTTTAAAAACTTTCTCAAAGAACATATTGAGAAAATCCTGTCAAAGTCCAAACCAAAAATCTCACATCATACTAAGACCCCAAATTTATAATCTAACTATATAGACGACTCACTTGCTCAGCGAATGGGGTAGGTGGTGTGACCTGGAGGGTCTGAAGGAGATTCTCATAAGTCAAAGTGTTAGGCTCAAACACAAACATACCGGCGTTGTAGTATGGAGGAGGAGGAGAAGGTCCCATCTCGTTCGGCCATGTGACCTTCTCTGGACAATGCTGACAATACCCGATCGAGTAGAGTGGCGTGCAGCTCCAAAATTTCTCGCAGAAACAGCTCAAGACGCCGTGCAAATAGCCATCTTGCATATCGAAGAGGTCATCGATATTGTCATAGACTTGAATATCTGCGTCCAAGTAAATCATCTTGTTGTACTCCTTAAACTACAAGTTATAAAAGTAAAATGCACTAAGTAGTAACTTTTTACTCTATTAAATGTTACATATGTATTATGTTTATACATTATTACATTTATATATAAAGGCCGTACACTATCATACAGTCTTAATTGTTTCAAACACAAAAGTCTGTGCTTGCGTTGGGATGTGAAAATAGATTACATTTTGTAAGTTAAAGAAGTACTAACAAAATTAGCAAGTTGTTTGTGTTACCTTACAAAATCCGGAAAAGTTTTGAATAAACACACTAAAATAGTGAAAATCATTTGTAATTACTATTGACTTGTTGACTTTAAAAATAGAGACATATACAAGCAATCGAAATATAGTTTTCATTTACTGAGGTATATATATATATGTGTGCGCTTAATGCTTACGTTCCAAATTCGCAGTTTTGAGTAATTGATGACGTAATAATCCCTTGCATATGAGACTTGGTCGTTCGGAGGATAGAGAGGCTCGATCTCACGCACGACACAGCCTTGAGACTTCAAGATCTCTCTATGTTCCTCAGGAACATCAGGCAAGATAGCAACAACAAGAGGATAAGCACTCTTACACTTACGCAAACCCTTTGCTAATCCCACCACTCCCTTCACATAGTCTCCATTACCGGCCAAGAACGTCACATAGGCCCTTTCCTTATGCGTGTTCTCTGATACATAGATAGACACCATGGGAGTTTCAGGGATCATCTTGATCAAAGGAAAAAACTTAAGGCTGGGTTGGAGAAAAGAATTTAAAATGTGTGCCAATTGTTACTTTGCCCTTTGGCTTCTGAGCAGGGCCGTGCTTCAGTTAAAAAATAAATAATATAACATACTACTATTTTATGTTATATCATTTTAATCTCAAGTAATAGAATATATTTATTTATGATTTAAGATTCAGTTTGGTATTGGCGTATATTAATAACAAATATTTATTTATGAATGTTGCTCAAAGTTTAAAGCGTTTGCAAGGTGACTGACAGTTTTTGTTTTTCACAGTTAAATTATTATTCAACCGACAGTCGTTGCTCAACCAACACGGTCGTTGGTCGTTGCGAATCGGCCATATACAAATATTTTGGCTAGCGAACTCATGTATTTTAAAATCGTATTCGTAGCTAAATGTTTATTTCATGTTTGGTCCATTTTGTATTCTTAGATTTTAAAAGTCCAATACATTTTATTTTAGTTTACAACGTTCGAGTTTATTGGATTAGCGTACGTGGAGAGGTCTGTTAATTAGTGACAGGCTAGGAAAGAAGGAAGATTTCAAAGACTTACGGAGACAAAGAGGGGTCTAAATATATTAGATTCAATTTCTCCAAATCTATTAGATTCACAAAAGTTAATATAAAAAAAGAGAATAGCTGAACTGCAAATTGATGAAATTTGGAGTAGATCACCAAATTTATTGTTATTGTTATGATTTTGGTGGATTTGATGAATTGATAAAATATTAAAAAAGAATAGTTGAACTTCTTCAAATTTTTACTCCAAATTTATTTTCAGAATTTATTTTTGTACAGTTGTGTGAATAAGTAAATATAATCTTAATTAAGACAGTTCTTTTATACAGTAGAACCTCTATAAGTTAATATTCGATTCATTAATATTTCGATAAATTAATATTTTTTGTTAGTCCTAAAAATAGTTTATCAACTAAATAATATATCTATAAATTAATAATCACTATAAATTAATATTTTTTTTATAAATCTTCAAGGTCTCAAAGTTTTTAATTTATAAAGGTTTTACTATAGTTTCAAGGGCAATTTCCAAAATTACACTGAAAATAAGTTTTCAGGACAAATATAACAGGAAAACTAAAAAATTTCCACCCCTAACATTTTTCATTTGAGTTTTCTGATTTTACCCTTTAGGAAAGTCTTTTTAAATGGTTTTTTCTGTTAATGTTTCGTGATTTTTTTAGGAATGTCTTCCAAATACTAGAATTGAACATCGTTTCATATGGTTTAGGAAAGCCTTCTTAAATTTTTTATAATTTCCTAAATTGTGGAAGGGCTTCCTGAATTGTGGAAGGGTTTCTTGAATTGTGGAAATGCTTCTTAAATTTGAGTTGTATAAATTAACAAAAATAATAATCAATTATACGATTTACGAAGGCATTCATAATTACATGTAATGACTTTCTTAATTTATATATTTTAGGAACGTCTTCCTAAAATATTAGAATATCTTCCTAAATTTACTTTCATCTTCTTCCTCACTTCTGCGACATCCAAACCCTAATTTCTGCTGATTTTTTTTTCACCATTGTTGTTGTTTTAGCTCGGGTTTCTTGAGTTTTTCACCCAATTATATCAGATCTATCAATCATTATATGATTTTGAGCTTTAAATCATGAAATCACTTTCCCATAAAAAACCCCCAAAATTCTAAGAGATTCACAATCACAAATCACAATCAAATGAGAAGAGTGATACTAAACAAAACAAATGATTTGATTTCAGATCAGTCTTGGCCATTGATACATTTGTTTGTACATTATCTTCCTTCTTTTTTTTATTAACTAATGTTTTGTCTAACTAAGATTAATATGTACAAAATGCTATGGAAGGAATTTTTTAGAATGTTAGTGTATATATGGAACAAAAACTTAGATTAGGTGCATTTGAGGGAATTTTTCTAGTTTCAAATCTTATACATATTAGTTAGATAATAATACTGGAACTATATCTATTATCTATATATCATAATCTCTAAGCTTATTGTGAAAACTCAAGTTCGATCTACGAAAGAACTAGGGTTTGAGGGTTTTAAAGAGATCTTTTATTAGAAGAAGCCGGAGCTTGATAGAATACAACGGTGTTTAGGTCGTCGGAATAAGAACGCCGACCTAAAAACTCTTAAGGAAAGTAAACCAAAAGCTAGAACAATCTGATTGCTTAGTTTGCTCTAGGTCTTGATCAATGATTTTCGGATGTTTTGAGAAGTCGAGGTCTTCCTGCATTTATAGCCGATCAGGTCGGTCTTCAACCTGTTTGGAATAGGAAACTCTTGTCGGCAAGGAGTTTCCTTTTTCTCCGGATCATCAATAAATAGAAGATTTCCATTTATGTTGTCGACCTGGAACTTGTTAGACGGGCCGCTTAGAATTCATATCGGGCTTGTTAGAGACGGCACAAATCTCATCTCTAACAGTAAGTCCCCCCCCCCCCCCCCCCCCCCCCCCCCCCCCCCCCCCCCCCAGTTCGGCAAGTGAGGATGCATTGCTTATCGAATTTAAAGAAATGCTGCTCGATGTGAATTCTGGTCGGCTGCAAAAGAGTTAGAAATATAAATGAAAGTATTACCTGGGCTTCTGATCGGCGCGATGATGAGGACCAGATTGTAATTTTGGGCGCGAAAAGTTTCCGCCTAAAAATAATGTAGATTAGGCCCAGGCCCGTGTATGCAGAACTAGGGTTGACACGTGTCAAACCCTAGCAGGAGGATGCGAAGGGGCCGATTAAAAGTATGTAGAAAAAATATGAAAGGTCGCCGAGCTCATGATGACTCTCGATAACCGTCCAGACCCTCTTATAAATAAGAGGACTTCGACTCTCATTTCTTCACTTCTGCATTCTTAGCGAAACTCTGTTGAAATCAGGTTTGCTCTCTTCTCTCTCCTTGTTCTTTGCTTATTTTTAGCTAAAAGTTTTTTCCGATCAAACCTCCGCCGCGTTTCGTTCGTTCTCAACCGCTCGATTTCTCCGATTTGCGAAAACGTCGTAATAGTCAGATATGAGCAAGTGTGTGAAGATCTGCGAGAGCCGACCAGAGGGTAGAGCGGTTATATCGGCTAAGGAGAAAGCCGATGAGATCGGTGTTTCTCTAGAAGAATTTCTTCAGATGGAAAAAGACGACCAGGCCATGAGAGGCCGATCAAAGGGGAAAGAGATCGTGAACAATATAGCGTCAGATCGGTCCTCTGATGCTAGCGAGTTATCCGCGTTAGATCGAGCTTTCCAGGAGCGAGTCAGAGAGGAAAATCAGAGGGCAGCGGCCGAGCGTTTCCACGCGGATCAGGTTGGTGCTGTTTTAAGGAACGGTGAAGCGTCGACGAGGGAACCGTTCCTGATCCCCGAACTGTGAGATGAGACGGACGAGAGGGGCGGATCGAACGAGATGGACATCTCCGACGAGCTGAATACACTCATTGCCGAAGATGAAGCGAATCAGTTCGGGATTGTCGATTTGAATCCTCCTGTTAAAAAGGTCAAGGGGAAGAAAGGCAAGCCGAAACCAAAACCGACTGTGATAATCTCCTTGGGGTATTGCCAACAAAATCGACTATGGAGTCTTTGGTAACATTGAAGGAAGAGTGTGATATCGGCCCCGAAGTCATTTTTATGATACCGAGCCCGTCAGAACGACCATGGGACGCTCCGGAGGGATGGTTCTGCGTCTATGAATGCTTTTTCAGGGATTTTCACCTCTGGTTCCCTCTTCCAATACTGCTGCTGGAGTTTGCCGATCACAAGGAGATGCCGATCTCGCAATTCTCTCATTCGACAATCCGTTTGATCGTTAGTATGCTGGTGATGTCGACCAGGCATAACATTCCTCTTAGTCGGGCTGCTTTTGATGCGATGACGAATACCAGGAGGACAAAGGAAAATTTAAGGAACCGAGGATCATACTATACGAGCATGAAGACCCGGTTCAACATAGTCACAGGTGGTCATAAATCGAAGGTCAACGATTGGAGGGATTATTATTTCTTCGTGCTGGTGAACGAGCATTCCATTATTGACCGAGACATCGAGATTCGAACGAAATGGGCGGAGGTCATGGGTAGAGACACGTCTGACCTAAAGAATTGTTTAAGATCACGTTGTGAACTTATCTGATCGGTATCTTTAATTTTACAGGTAATAGGCATCTTCCATTTGTTGACGACCCCCTCGATATTTACAAGATTTCCGAACGATTTGCGGCGATCAGCGCAATCACCTGGCCGGATATTACGGAAGAGAGGATCGAGAGGACAAGAGGTTGGTTCAACTTGTTTTGCTTATCCTTGTGAATTGTAAGGTCGGCTGACACTTTTCTAATTGCAGTTACTCTACTTAGACACCAAAACCGGACCGACAAGATGAAATCTCGCCCACTCAAAAATTTATCTGCCGACCTCGAAATGATGTTTGAATCTCCGGGTGCCAAGGAGGCCCAAAATTCCCCGCCGTCAGGGTCTTTAGAACAGCACGGGAATCCGGTTGTTCCAGAAGGTGATCTGGCCAAGGCCAAAGCGGCTGCCGACAAAAGAGATAGAGATTCGGCCAAGGCAAAGAAGTCAGCCGATAAGAGAGCTGCAAGGAAGGCAGAGAAGGCCCGGAAGAAGGCCGAACTGAAAGAGTCCGCAGGTGAAGATGGGCAGGATGCGGACGATGCTCCTGAGAATTTGCAACGGTCGAAGAGACCTCGGATCGATCGACAGCTTCATCGGTTTGGATTTTCCTATGACTATCGAGGGACTGGTCCATTGGTGAGCGATCCGGAATCCTGTCTCGACTATTTTCTCCGTTTGAGGGATCATCCGGATCTTCCTGCGATGGACCCTCGGAGCTTTATTCGTAGCGAGGCAATCGCGCGCTTCGCCAACGATCAGGCCAGGGTAAATTTCTCTTACTGCTCTCTTCTATTTCCCTTACATATTATCGGTTCTGATGATGTTTACGAATGCAGGCTCTGAGTACCGCACTGACGACGTTATGCGAGTACGATCGTGATGCCAAAAGGTGTCAATCCGATCACACGGAGATTGAAGCCGTGAAAGAGGCCCTTGAGGCTGAAAAACAA